TATATGAGTGTTCTCAGACATAGGGAACTCACTGCACTCTTTTGGCCGAAGTTTTTCCTTTTGTTGTTTAGTGTACATTGACTTATTTCATCCATGAGTAGGGAAAACAGACAGCATTCTCAAAAGGGTCTTGGCACTGCAGTCCACGCCCAGTCTTCAGCAAGCACCTGATCACCGTCAACCACATGACCAGTGTACTCAGGAGATCTTGACTTGAAGTGAAATCTCTGGTGTGGAACCTTCTGGTGTAGAACTGTACGACAGCACTGCATCTTAGGGCTGCACCACTGGCTCCTACTTTCTATTTTTGACTTCTTTTTAATGTTGTAGTCTTGAAATGGTTATCAGTCCACTAACAAACTCATTTTGACCTTTATGTTCATCAGATAGTAGAGACCATGTCAGGATGGAACCACTTCTGCTCAGCAAATTGATTAGGATGCTTTGTTCTTAATGTTTGCAGAGGGCAGAATTTTCCTGGCATTGGCTCCCTGGAGTGCTGTTTTGGGTCAGTTCAACCATGAAGGCAGAACCTTGTGATTTTACAAAAGACTCAGTCCTTATCAGTTGTCAAGAGATTACAGACTCAGGCCAAGTATCTGGCTTGAGTTCCAGTCCAGATCTGAGAACTAGGTGCTACTAGCTGGAGAGTGTCAGGGACTGGTCTCATTCACATTCAGTGTGGCTCTGAGAGGTCCCCCCAAACCACCCCAAATACCACATACTAATTCCTATTGTGTTTTTTTGTTTCTTTTGAGGTATCAGCTTAAAAGCAACCTCAGAGAAATCTGATACCCCACCTCTTTAACATGATGTTAGGGCTTCGTGGTTTAGTTTGTAATCATGGAGTCTATCCATACATTTCTTCTATCCAGCCTAACTCACCTACATCCCATCTGCTCTGATCTGAATGTTTGTGTCCTCCCAAAACTCATATGTTGAATCCTAATCCCCAATATATTGATATTAAGAGATAGAGCTGTTGAGAAGTGACTAGACCATGAGGGGAAGCTCTTATAAATAGAAGTAGTGCTCTCATGAGAGGCCCCAGAGTGCTGTCCTGCCCCTTCCACCATGTGAGGGTATGATGAAGGTGTCATCTATGAACTAGAAGGTGGGCCCTCACCACACACTCAATCTGCCAACACTTTGATTGTGGACTTTCCAGCATCCAGAACTGTAACAAATACAATTTTATTGTTTATAAACTACCCAAATTTTGTTAAGCAGCCTAAAAGGTCTGATATAAATATTTATATCTAGTACTAACTGAGCACACTGTTCAGTTGTATAGTAAGCAATCTTCAAGGAATTTCTTCCTTAATGGAGTGGAAGAGAAAAATATAATTCAACTAAACACAAAACTGAATGTCTAAATATTAACAGGGACACTGAAATCACAGTTTAAATAAATGGAACAACAACAAGAAGTAATCAAGATATTTAGAATGTTGATTGGGCTAGCCAATCGCAGTGGTTAGGGTGGCTGGAGCCTACATGGCTGACCAGTTGTTTCAAGACTTGAACTCAGCAGCTTGAAAAATACTCTGGGCATGCATGTGTGTGTGTGCCCCAAATCCTGAGAGGAGAATGGAGGGAAAGGAACTGTGTCATGGGCATCTCCCCCTAAGAGAGTGCTTTCTCACTTTTCCTCTCTCTGGTGAGTATGTGCACTCCACAGCAAATTAAAAAAAGAAAGAAAGAATATTGATAAATAGTAGAAATGAAAGAATAGAGTAAATATGATAGTAAACATGTAGGATTGGGACAAAAGAGTGGATGGGTTATTAAAAAGACGAGTATGTAATATAGCTTTAGAAACCCACTAAGTAAAAATCTGCTAAGGCTGGGGTTTTTTGTTTTTTTTCCTTTTCTTGCTATAGGGCACATACACTCGCCAGAAAGACAGAGAGAGACAGAGAGGCAGAAAGCAAGAAATCGCCCCCCGGGGGGGATGGCCATGCTGCAATCCCTTCTCCTCCATTTTCCTCTTGGGATTTTGGGCATGCACGCACATAGGCCCGGCATGAGATTAAGCCACCGGGTCCGGGACTCAAACCGTGGTCAATTACATGGGAGTTCGGCGACATAGCCATTACGCTAACTGCTGGTCCCAGGCTGTTTTTTTTTTTTGCCAGCATGCACAGCTCACCAAGGATCAGCAGAGAGACAGAGAGAGTAAGAAAGAGAGTTAGTCGTCCTTTTCCTCCACAACTCTATTCTGTCGGGATTATGGGCACCCATACACATGCCTGGAGTGTTTTTCAAGCCCATAGGGCCAGAATTTGAACTGCATTGTCAGCCATGTGGAATCCAGCTCCCTTAACCACTAGGCCATGGGGCCAGCCCCCACTAAGTCTATAATAAGTAAAATAGTGTTGGGTTGTAATTCACAATATAAAACTAAGGTAAATGAGCTCATACGATATAAAATAAATGATTACATAAATAAATAGATACGTGAGATAGACAGCACGTCTTCCATGCAGAATTCCAAATAATCTATGATGGGGTCCATCGTCAAGAAGGTGGAGCACAGTTCTTCCTTACTATGGGTTACACATAGTGACTTCTTTCCAAAAAATGTACAGTATGGAAACGAGGATAAAAGGATCAGTAACTTGTGGAGAAACCTGATCCAGACTACCGCGGGTGATCAGGGTGAACTTCAACAAAAGTCATGTTTATGATAAGCACCCCGGCCAGGTATGATGTGGTGAAATGGCACGTTCCCTGTGCCATCCTCTTTCCCAGAAGCTAGCTCATCACTTCAGTCTAGTCATGAGAAAAACATCAGAGAAATGCCAGTTAGGGACATTCTACAAAATATTTGACTAGGGACCAGCAGTTGGCATAATGGCTATGTCACTGGACTCCCACGTAGTCGACCACGGTTCGCATCCTGGACCCAGTGGCTTAAAACTCACGCAGGGCGCGTGTGCGTGCGTGCCCAAGATCCTGAGAGGAGAATGGAGGAGACGGGATTGCAGCGTGGCCATCCCCCCTGGGGGGTGATTTCTCACTTTCTGTCTGTCTGTCTCTGTCTGTCAGGCGAGTGCATGCGCCCTATAGCAAAAACCTCTCCAAAAAAAAAAAAAAAATACTTGACCAGCACTGCTCATACTCCTCATACCTATCAAGGTAACAGAAAATGAGAGGTGTAAGAAACTGCCATGCCAAGAGATGCCTAAGGAGATGAGGCTATTAAATGCATTGTGGTATTCTGCATGGAATTCTGGAACAGACAAGGACACTAGGTAAGAAGGAACGGAATGTGAATGAAGTGTACCACACCAGTGTGCCTGTCATAATCGGGGAAAGTGGGTATGGGAATATGGGCACTCTGTACTAACTTTGCAGTTTTTCTTTAAACCCAAGCTATTCTAAAATTTAAAAAGCTTATTTAGAAAGAAAGAAAAGAAAACACTTCTGCAATGCCAGACCCTTTGACATCTCAGGTACAATACAGGAGAGGTCCTGCAGCACTTCCAAACGAGCCCCCCAGGAATCAGGGTTAGCAGAGCCGTGGGTTATATTTACCCAAAGCTTCAAGCACAGGCTGTTTGGCCCACTCATCTAAGCCTTTGTTTGCCTTTTGGTTGTTTCTTGGCTACAATTTCAAACTCAGGGTGTATATGGTTTCTGTTTTGATAACTGAATAAGAACAACAGAGGAAAATGATTTTCTGTTTCCGATTAGTGATGACTCTATAGTAAAGCCACTTTTTTTTTCACTTTTTTGAAATTGAGGAATTTGACAGAATAATTAACTTTCCCAGTCCTTTCTTAAGATTTCTCCTGCTTGCCTCCCTGTCCCCTTTCAGGGTGAGTGTGTTTCCCCCCAGGTGTTCAGGGAGTTCACAATTGCATCACGGTTTACTGGGAAACTTTGCCTTCCTGGTTTGATTTTCTATAATATAGGTCAGCACATGTCCCTTCTCTGAGACAATTTGCACCTCCCTCCCCCAGTAAGGGACACATCACATTGAGCTGAGCAATGATCACTTGAAGGTGAGCATGAGAAAAAGCCATTGTATTATGGTTTTAGACACTCACCTGGCAGGTTATTTTAAGTATCATTAAGTATTCCCAGAGCTTGAATAGCAACAATAATAACTGATTCCACCGAAGGGGGGAAACATAGTAGGAGGAAGCACGAAAGAAAAAGGACAGAAAAAGCAGGACATCGTTGCTTAAAGTCTATCGTCATTTCCTCCATTTTTGTAAAAAGTTTACGCGAAGAAAACAAAATAAACGAACGGTTCCCGGAATTTAAATCTCAGGAGCCCGCAATCCGTGAAAATCCCGTTTTAAACCATCCCTTGAAATTGGCTTTGGGACGTCTCTCCAGCTACTCGATTATTCAGCGTCCCCATCTTCCTAACGACCGTCCGGCTGGACGTCCCCGAGGACACAGCAGCTGGCGAGTCGCCGGACCAGGCTTCTCTAACTGAATGTGGATGTGCAGGTGGAAGGAGTAAAAGCTAACAGTGGCTTGGCAGCCACCAAGTTCCCACACCTCCCCCCGACAAGTGCTCGGCACGTCGCCCGCACCGTCGGGCTCCGGGAAGCCGGGCCGCTGCGACCCTGGCCCTCCCGCGCACCCAAGTGCGGCGGGCGCCGCCGGCGAGCGATGCCATCTTTCTTGGGATCTCAGCATCTTAGGAGTAGCTCGTGAGTTTGACATGTGGATCACGTCCCCGCGTCTTTGCAAACTTAACCCAACTTTGCAACGAGACGCGATCCTGCTAGGGGACCCCGCGTTTACTCTTAAGTACACTGACAAAATCGGATGCATTTGCAGGGATCCCAGGCCTGGGGCTCCACGCCTGCACCCGCGCACCGCCAGTTCCCGGGTGCAAAGCCAAGTGCTCCGCCGCAGACCTCAGCCCGCAGACCTCAGCCCAGACGCCGGCCCAGCGTGGCCCGCGCGGGCTCAAGTCTGCGGGAGGCTGGTCCTAGCAGGAGTGGGCGGGAGGGTGGAGGTACCCAGCGACTTACAGCCCAAGGCGACCACCAGGTAGCGCAGCAGCAGCACGAGGAGGCGGTGGCGGCTCCTCCTCGCCATCTTCCCGGAGCCGGAGCCGGCAGCTCAGCGCAGAGCTCGAGGGTCCTGACTGCAGGAGCGCGGGAGACCGGCGGGGCCCCGAACTTCTGCGGCGGGAGAGGAGGGGAGAGTCGCTGAGCCGAGGACAGCTGCGAGGAGCGCTCCCCGAGGGATGTCAGTTTCCCCTCAGAGGCGCCTTCTCCGCTGGCTGCCAAGGGGCAGGTCTCCCAGCTCGGGATTGGGGGCCGTCTGGGCCGTTTTGTTTGGGGGCGTTGGGGGTAATAGGGGGAGGGGAAAAGGGGGCCCCCGGGGTCCGGGGGGGGGGGCGCCAGCCGGCGAGCAGCGGAAGGGAAAGCCGGGCTGGCAGTCCCCCGCCCCCGCGCCGCCTGGATTGATCGGCTTTGTGTCTGGTCCCGCGGTGGGCTGCCAGCTGTCCCCAGGGCGAGGAGCCCGGGGGCGGGAGGCGAGGGCCGCAGATGGGGGTGGGGGGAGAAACGCCGCCTGTCTTGCCTCGACTCCTTTCTTCCCCTCCTTGGCGCAAAACTTCTTTGGGGGTTTTCGGCCTGGGGTGGAGATCTTTAGAGAATTTCTGACCAACAGGAGAAGCTGCGGGGGAGGCGCTCCGAAGAGATGGGTTTGCGGGCTCCGCCTCGGACACGGAGGAATGAAAAAAGGCAAACGAGACTCGTGTTAGAAGTCAGGTCTCGCAATGTAGCAATAGCCTTGCCCCGGGCTGGGTTTAAGCTTTTTGCTCCTTGGAGAGTTAAGGTGTGCTTTGCGGTCCTTGCTTTCTATCACATGTCAAAGTTGGAAGTTCATCTGACGGTGTGAAATATTTATCGTGTTTGTTTCCAGTTATGTAACTGCTGCCGGTGGAGTTTTCCACATGTTCAAGTTCTTACAGCTGCCCTTTGTCAGGTTTATTTTTGGCCTACTGTGCTTTTAAAAAGGAAACCCATTATGCATGCTTTGTTGCATGCTTTAAAATTGACCCGCACTTACATTGCACACACGTACGAAGGCTGAGCAGGCAAGGTTTTATACTCGCTTTCGGGGACCAAAACATGTCAGGTGCTTTCAGGAGTTCTGACAGATCTGGAAAAAGGCCATTCCCAGGAAAATAAATTGTCATACATCAGTTTTTTTTTTTTTTCAACAGGTAGAATGGATAAAGTTCTGTGTAGAAGATAGTTGATTTAGTGGTGTACATATAAAGAATTCAGCTAGCTCAGGGGACAAAGGCAACCCGAGGTTAGATATGCAGAGCTGTGAGGAATGAGGCATCCCTGCCGTTGCCTTGGTGACAGTGAGGAAAGCTTAGTGCCCATGGGGGGATGGGCAGGGACCCAACCGGCCCTGGGAGGAAGTCAAAATGGCATATGTTGGAGCCCCAAGCCAGAAAGAGCACTGACTGTTTTGTTTTTAAAAATAATTATCTTATTATTTTATTTATTATTATTATTTTTTAATTTGATCAGAGAAAGAGAGAGAGAGGGAGAGAGGGAAAGTGAGAAAGCAAGCTGCCAGGCAGGGGACACGACCCTTAGTGGGCCATGTGGGAGTCCAGGGCCCTAACTGCCACATCACCCGCCAGGCAGGGCACACACATTTAACACAGACTTCTGCTAGATTTTCTGGGCAGTAGCAAGAAAGATTGAGGGTTTTAAAAGCAAACTTTCTGGTGGCCTCTGCCTCCTCCTTGCTAAAACTATGTCCACTTTTATGCCTCTCTAAAGATATACTCAGAAAAGAGATTATTCCCCCCTTTTAAATTCTGTGACATCCTATGTGATTAATTGACTCACGCAGTAATTTATCTGCCATTCAGACAAGGCTTTTGTCAAATGGCTGCAATGTGCTGATGCCAGGGACAATGATGAATAAGACTGAGTCTCTGCTGTTAATAGGCTCAGTCTTGAGGAGAGAACGAGAGCCCTGTTTGGAAAGATCTCTAATACCATATGATAAGTGTTACGGGAGGACAGAAACTAGTAACAGCTGTTTTCATTGCACACTTTCTCAGTGGTAGGGTTTGAGTAATGCAATATTTTATCCCCTACCATTCTGTAAGGGAAGAAATGTTATCATTCCCACTGTACGGATGAGAAACCTTGCCTGAGAGATGCTAAAGAGCATGTCCAAGGTCAAGGATAAGGGGAAATTCCCTCTGTTGGAGGTGGGGACAGGGCTTTCTTTAGTAGGCCTTGAATGAGGGGTCTAACTCTTTTTCTTTCTTTTTTCTTTTTTTAGGTTTGTACCATAGGGTGTGTGCACGTGCTAGAGAGAGAAAGTAAAAGGAAAAGTGAGAAATCATCCCCTCCCCCAGGGGGAGCACAATCTCTTCTATTCCATTCCCTCCTGGGATTTTGGGCATGCACACACATGCGCTCGGAATGATTTTCAAGCTGTTGGGTCTGAGACTTGAACCTTCGTTGGCCATGTGGGAGTCAAGAGCCTCACCTGTCCCACCATCTGCTGGCCACCATGTGTCAAATTTTCAAAGGAACGAAATAAAGGAAGGACATTGAAGACAGAGTGAAGAGCAAGATCGAAAGCTGGGAGATTTTAAAATTGTGGCTTACTTAGGAACAGCAAGGACCTACAGCACTAAAATTCATGTGGGATTGAGATGGAGATGGAAAATGAAGAGATGGGATTATGAATTAGACTACCAACTTGAGACTTCTATAAGTAAGAATCTTTTCAAAGTACTATGGTAGGACAAGAAAAATCCCTATTTAGAACTATGCTGTTTAAAATGGTAGAATCTAGACCGTGTGACTATATACGTTTAAATTATTCAATGTACAGGTCTCAGTGGGTTTAACATGGGGATGAGGCTACCTTCTATGCAGATGGACAGCATTTCTTTCATCACAGAAATTTCCACAGGACGAGTGCTCCCTTAGAACAATGATTCATATGGGAAAATAGACGAAGGATTAGAGGGAAGAGAAAAATAGAAAGTTGACAAGTCTTAAAACCATTGTAATAGTCTGAGAAGGAGATGGAGTTGTGAAGTCAACGGTCACAGTGGGATATGTGAAAAACCAGGGAAATGACATTTCACAGACCTGGCCAGGAGGTTTATGTTAGCAATTAGATGTAGGGGAGAAGGAAGAGAGAATTTATAGGTCACTGAGTTTTCTAGCCCGGGTGGCTGTATGTGGTGGTTATAAATATTTCATTACCTGAATAAGAAGCACGGGGAACATACATAGTTCCAGCAGGTTCGGGCTGAGCCGATTGAAGACCTCGCTGAGATAGACAGCAATGTGTTAAAACGGCTGGGCTGGAGCCTAGAAAACCCTCAGGATGCACTGAGGAAATAAATGTAAATGTCATCGGCATCTCCTACAACAAGGATCCCTGATACTCTCTGCTCCTCAGAATCTCTTGGACATCCTAAATATGATTGTCTCCTTAAAGTTAGGTTAAAATCCTGAGGCCCCGAAGTTGCCGTCTCAACAGGACCTGGGAAGCTGTTTTACTGACAAACACACAGGTTGATTCAGTTGCGACTAATCCATGACTCGGTGTTGGAAAACACATTTCCAAAAGACAGGAAAAGCCGTAAGGATGAATGAGATCAATCAGGGAAAAAGTAAATGTTTATCTCTGGATAAGACTAAGGAATCAACTGCAATAAGAAGTAGGAAGAAAACCTGAAAAAAAAAAAAAAACACACAGGAAAGAGCAGTGAGCTGGGTGTGGTGGTCGTGCCTGTAGTGCCAGCTGCTTAGGAGAGTCATGAGTTGGAGGCCAGCCTGGGCAATGTAGCAAGACTCTTGATTCTAAAAAAAAAAGAAAAAAAAGGCAATAAAATAAGTATGAGAGTTGCCTGACCTGAAGCACACTGGACTTCAGTGCTGAAAGCCACATGGCTAACCACGGGTTTGGATCCCTGGGTTGGAATGGAAGTACATCTGACACATGCTATTGCCCAAGAACCCGAGAAGGTGGAAGCTCAGAAAGGGAGATTGTGGCGTGATGAGACCCTGTCCAGGGTGCTCTCTCTCTCTCCCTCTCTCTCTCGTGCATGTACTCCCTAGCATAAAAAAAAAAAAATTTAATTTAAAAAAAAGTGTGAGAGGAACTAGGAGAGGATCAGAAACAAAGACAGAGGTTTTATAGTGTCAAATACTAAAAGAGATTGAGCATTAGCTCCTGGGTTTTGTAAATATGGGAGCTTTGACCATCTGAGTAAGAGAGTAGGATATCTAAGATTGGACCTGGTCAGAGGACTCAAAGGAGGCTGACTCAACTACTGGTCAAAGGAAAGAATCTTTTTCAGCTAAAACCAAATAATAAAATGGTTAAAAAAAAATCTGAAAAAGAATGGTGAGGGGAATAGCAACAGTTAATAGTCCTTCATTAATGAGTGGTTGGAGTAGGTTCTGCTTGTAAGAATCCCTGCATGGTGAGCCTGGGGCACGTTGGAGGGAGGAATGGGGAATCTCTCTAAATTTTGTTCTGTTCTCCATGATCACATACCCCTTCCCTCAAACATGTCATAATCACTTTACTGACACTATAGAACAGTTTGGTCAAGTAAACTGAATGAGGACTTGGTGTTTTAGGGCCTCTTAGCATTTTTTATTCTTTCTGCGCACTCTAATTCTGAATTCAAAGTGCATTGAGGAGGTGTTGAGGCACATGTCCTAAAACAAGCACTGAAGGAAAGGGCTGGTTTAAATTGAGTGACTTCTCACAACATCTCAGATTTGGTATTTCTGTATTGGGTGGGTTATTTTTCCCCATGAGTGTGGAGAAGGTGCTGGAAATTGCCCACACTCTGCAATTTAGAGAAAAAAAGAAAAAAAAAATAGTGTTTCATTTCCAGAACCACATAAATTCCCAGTGTCTCTCATGTACATTTTAAATGTTTATAAGTAGAGTTCAAGGTCTTTAACTAAAGGATTCCCCATTACCTAACCCCCTTCTCCCTTACCATTATCTCCCGAGATCATTTTCTGGAATGAGTCTGATTTTAATATTTCCTTCTATTGTACCCATAGGACATTCATGCTTGTACTACACCCACCCTCCCTTCTAGCCAAGTAAACCTGTTCAGAGAAGCCCACCATGTCTCCAGCACATAGCTGATGTTATTCTCTCAAAATGGCACCTTTTTAAGGTGCATTTTAATTATACAGTGCATGAAAATTATTTCCAAGAAAAATAAAACAAAACCCAGCTTCACTTAGTTTTAATTACTACAAACAAAATTCTTTCTTTAGCTGTCTCTGCTCCTAAATTCCTTACACCACCAAATTAGTTCTGCCTG